CTATTTACAAACTAAATATCTAAAGGAATTGTTGACACACCGTCCTCCAAAACTTTACGTTTTGGATAAAAATAACTAAAAGCGTTTTTAACTTGAACATATGTACACATAGCATTATTTAAAACCCTAAAACTCCTATTTACACCCGACCCACTACGTTTACTTAAAAGCACATCTAAATATTTATCTTTATTAATTACGTTATTTCTTTTATTTACACCCTTGCAACTATATTTATCTTTCCCCCAAAACAATAATACGTCTTACTACATAAAGACACAATTCCATCCCCTTCCCATTCTACTTTAAACAATCCCGGTTTTCTCCTGTCGTATTTTGCATGTTCAGTTGTATCGGAACGAGGAAACCAGTTACATTTATCGTTCTCAAACGCCTCTCTTAAACCAGGCTTGACCAATTCTTCAACACTTTCACCACTAATAGCAATATAGGCACTGTCTGTATCCATCTCGCAATACTCATAATCGGAACGGTCAAGGTATGTATCTAAGCAGTCGTAGTAAAACTGTAACATTCGGAGTTTCGCATACTGGTAGACGAAGAACCCCACCTGTAAAATAAGAATAATTTATTAATTTATTTTTCTAATGACAAAATGATCATGCAATACATACCTGTAGTGGTAAGTCCAACTTAATTTTCTTCTTAGCACTTTCCACTTCGTAGGTGGCATCGTCGATCACGTTCATTTGGCGGTAGAATGGTGAGTTGATTAATTCAGAAACCTCATCATCGTTGCAGTAATCCACCTTGCGATGACGCTCTTTGTTGGTGACGGTCTTCCCGTATGAGCTGTATAGAAATACAAAAAAATGAGTATTTCTTGAATAAGTCACAACAGCGTGATTTTAAAACTCACCTATTCCCGACCAATTTCATCGTGTCCGCGATGATGGCTTTGGAGGGGTCTGCATCACCAGCACGACGAGCATCCGATACAGCGTTACCAAAAGATTTGAAACATGGCTTAGGGGTATATTCGATCACCTGATAGATACGCGTAACCTAGAAAATAATGTACCATCTATTAGAAACTTTGTCTTACTGTTAAAAAGGTTTACAATACTTAACACACACCTCTAAACCATGTTCCAAATACCACTTTAGAAGAGGGGTTGCCAGCAGGATTTTATCCCCTTTCATACTTCCAATGAGGCTTCGCCGGGGTCGGGGCATGATGTTGTTTTCTTCGGCGTAGCTCTTCATGAACTCATCGATGTCTTCTCGACGTATTTCGGTATTCTTGAAGATGGGGCACATCTCTTTGAAATATTCTCGCAAGTGATCGGGTACGTGGATATGACACTCCACACATCCAAATAATTTATCATTCTTCACTGCGTTGATAATGGACTGTTTGGTCATGGTTTTCACTTTATCCAGTGGTCGACGCTGATGGGTGGCGATGAATCGTTGCAGCGCGCTGTTTCGTTTCTTCATATCTCGCCACTCACATTCCCAACATTCAACGAGATTGAATCCCTGCTTCGTGATATATGTTTCTTTTTGTCTCTTCAAGGAGTTCTTTCATGGGCTTATCACGCTTCTCGTTGACTTCTTTACCTTCGTTAAGTTGGCAGTTGTGGCCATGCCAATAACATCCTAGTAGAATAAAGTACAATACAGTTAAACCTACAAAAACGAAAACCTACGTGCAAAACCTACGTGCGCCGCGATGGCGGTTAGCCGCAAGTTTTCTGGCTCGCGAAAAATGTTAATTTTTTTGTACATACACATAATATGTTGTGGATTATTCTATACAAACATGAAGAATACATCAAGTGTTTCCACCTGGCAAGAGATTTACGTGTGTTCAGAAGTTATGAAAGCTAAAATCTTTTCCAACGGTTTCAAGCGACGACGAAAAGTGAAACAACGACGGTTAGCAAATTCATTAAAATTGGCTTTCGGCTGTCGCCTTCTCCTTTACGCCTTGTTTTCAGTGTTTCTGATCAAACTATCGGGTGATGTTGAAATAAATCCAGGCCCTACCAGCAATGCAAATCAAATCTCGCATAATAATCGAGCAGTAAAATGCCTTGGGCTAAACGCACGGAGCTTGATGAGTGTAACGAAGACAAATGACGGACAAACTGTGAGTAACCTTGAAAGATTTCAGAACTTTGTTTACTCCGAAGACATTGACATTGTTTTTGTCAACGAGACTTGGCTTTCTGTGAATATAGACAATGGTGAAATTTTACATTCTGGATACACTATAGTCAGAAACGATCGGGAAGGTCGCGGGGGCGGAGTTTTGTTGGCAATAAGAACGGGATTATTTAAAACTGTGCGTGAAATTAAGCATGATCAAAATCTGGAGATTGTTTTGGTGGAATTAACAACAATATCGGACTCGAACATACTTATTTGCTCTTGTTATCGTCCACCAAACGCGGACAGAATTTGGATGGAAGATTTTGAAAATTTTCTTAACGATGTTTGCTCACGTCATTCAAAAATTGTTCTCGCTGGCGACTTCAATCTACCGCGCGCGTGCTGGAACTCGCGGGAAATCTCCGTAGGCGTGAACGAAACGAAATTTATTGAAATTCTGGATGACTTTTTCCTGGAGCAAATCAATAACATTCCCACCAGAGAAAACAATGTACTTGATCTCTTAATTACTAGTATTCCTGACAAGATAAAGATAAGCGAAGTCTTAAAACCAACTGATGCGGGAATCTTCACAGATCATAGCCTAATCATGTTTGATCTAATCACGGCATGCAATCCATTACCAAAAGTAAAAAGAACCGTATTTAATTATCGTCGAGCTGACTTTGATGGTCTACGAGCACATCTTCAATCACTTAACCTCAAGGAGAAAATATCTGATCATGGCGATATTAATAAAGATTGGTCGGAATGGAAAGATTCGTTTCTTGTGGCGGTGAAGCAGTTTGTTCCAACTGCAAATTTAAAAGGTCGAAAGTCTCTTCCTTGGATGAATAGTACAATTCTTCATTTAATTAAGAAGAAAAACTCGTTGAGAATGAAAATCAAAAGATCTAGTTCACCAAGTGACTACCTAAGAGATCAATTTAAAAGCCTCCGCTCCACCATCAAGCGAATGTTGCGTGACAGTCGACTTGAATACATGAACAAAATCTGCGGCAATCGTGATCACAACCCAAAACGCTTTTGGTCCTTTTTTAAGACGAGGTCAAAAGTTTCCAACATTCCAGGAAAAGTTTCCACGAAAGTCAATGACAGTGAAAGAAAGCACGCGAACAGTAACACCGATATAGCGAACATGTTCAATGAATATTTTGTTTCCATCTTCTCCTCTGACTCGGACGTCGCCTTTGAACATGGTGATCGTCTGCATAACGTAGACTTTGAGAATATCACATTATCGGAGGAAGAAGTACTAGCTGTGATAATGAATTTAGACCATAATAAAGCACATGGCCCAGATAATATTCCAGCCCGCCTACTGAAAGAGATAGCCGCGCAGATTGCACCATCTCTCTGTTCTCTTTTCAACAAGTCTTTACGTATTGGCGTTGTGCCTGACGATTGGAAACTCGCTAACGTGGTCCCTGTTTACAAACACGGAGAAAAAGCGGAGGTAGAAAATTACCGACCAATTTCACTACTGTCCCTTATATCAAAACCCCTCGAACGTTGTGTATTTAACAACATCAAACATCATGCTTATGATCAGATAAACCCTTGCCAAAACGGTTTTGTGCCGAAAAAATCCTGCATCACCCAACTCATCGAAGTCCTTGATCACATTGGCCGTGACTTAGATCGTGGTAAACAAATTGACGTAATTTATTTAGACATGTCAAAGGCCTTTGATAAAGTGAGCCACGCAAAGCTGTTACATCGCCTTCGTGAATTCGGGTTTGGAGGAAGCATTCTCAAATGGTTCGGTTCATATCTGACCAACCGATATCAACAAACGACCGTTCTTGGAGCAACGTCGAGGCCGCTTCCAGTAACATCAGGAGTGCCGCAGGGGTCCATCCTCGGTCCATTATTGTTCCTTCTATATGAGAATCATCTCTCCAATTCCCTGACCAATTCAAGGATTGCTATATTCGCGGACGATACCAAGATCTTCAAGACCATCAATTCGATCTCTGATGCGTCTGCTCTACAGAATGATCTGTCAAACTTCCAAGAAAGCTCAAGCACTATTAACCTCGAATTAAATAACACCAAATGCAAAGTCTTAAGAGTCACCCGAAAGCACAATAAAATTACTTATCCATACCAACTTAACGATACCATCCTAGAATGCACGGACTGTGAACGAGATCTTGGAGTTTTAACATCTTCTACTCTGACTTGGTCTAAACAAGTTGACCACCTGTGCA